GTTGTGGAGCCATTATTGGAAACCGATCCCAAGCTTATACTTGAAAAAGTATAATAGGACCGGCAATGTCACGTGATGTAGAGCGAGACGCTTTGCACATATTTCTGTACAATCATGCTAAACATGCTCCACCCCAACTGAAACGTCCAGCTACCTCAAAAATCTGTTAGGAGTGGGAGGAACATTAAATGCACCAAGTTGTTAGACTTATCGGCGAATAGGCTACCACCGATAAGCTGCATAATATAGGCACGAGCGTATCTGGCAATGGTTTTCTCGTCTGCATCATCGTTTAGGTTGCGAAACTGAGAAGCTAATCAAGGTAAACTCAGTCTTGATCCTCTGATGTGTCGATCATCTGGAGTCACCTCAAGTAATGCTTGACAGGTGTCTTTCCAATCATAATCAATGGGACCAGTAAGGGGCTCACCATATACTGGTAACCCAAGTTGCACCGCTCGGGCACGTGGAATGTCCTGTAGAGTGATAGTACACTCCCCATCGGGCATGTGGAATGTATGAGTCTCTGGCCTCCATCGTCCTACAAGTGCTGTTATAAAATGCCAATCTAACTGGATGAATCGTAATCTGGCAAATCCGTAAAATCCAGAAGCGTGTAATGCAGGCTCAATTAGAGGATGCAATAGGATGGAGCGATCGAATACTGCCTCCCTACATCGACAGTGCAACTCCTCATTACACTGACCTTGCCATACTAATTCTGATCGATGTTGAGCTTGGGCATACAATACAGATCGATCAGTAGGACCTGGATCTAGTTCCATATTCTGATAGCATAAATAATCATTATTTGGAAACTTAAATCAAAATATTCATCATAAAATTTATCAAATTGCAACAGTAACTACCAAATTACAATCACCAAATTCAATTCACATTACAATCACCAAATTACAAAAAAATAAATATTACATAGATAATTCTAACACCAAATTCAACTCACATAGAAAGAAATTACATTGACAAAAAAAAAAAACAAATGATTCCAATAAAAATTTTAAAGTACATCAACAATTATGATGGCGCTTCCCGTCGTCTTGAAGGACAACTTCTTCGATTGTGACCAAGTTGATTACAAATGTCGCAACGTTGTTGAGAACTTGGTTCTCTCCAATCCATCTCATTATGAATACGTGAACTTTTTGGTTTTCCAGGCAATCTCAATAAAGATGGATTGGCATGCAATATAGGCATGTTTGGAAGAGGAATCCAATAATCTTCATGTAGGATGGGCTCAAATTGAGGAGCGTAAGATTGACCGTACTTTGAAAGCTTGTAACAATCCTCAATATAATCCTCGTAGTTAAAGTTTAAGTGTGAACAAACTGCCATTAAATGAGATGGATTGGCATGTACATGAACGTTGTTGGGCAGTTATTCTCACTATTTGTATGTTCTCTCATCTTGAATTGTAGAATGAATCCCTGTTTTCACATGAAAAACACACCGACAGCTCGATCGTAATTGACTACAGTGTGTTTTGTGGATCTCGCCGCCCATTGAACAAGCTTATCGTAAGCATACCTGTTCAACTTGACTATGTAAGTTAACAACATTTACAAAATAAAGAACATTAAGCAACAAATTAAAGAATACCTTGTGTATTTTTCATTTCTACTTAAAACATCTCTTGTCTCTTCCCGCCGCTTCTCGAAATATTTTACGCATCGATAGAATGTAAGTTTCACCAATGCAGTAATGGGAAACATTCGAGCTCCTTTGAGCATTCCATTAATGCATTCTGAAAGATTGGTCGGCGCCCACCCATATCTAAACCCACCATCATGTGATAGGGTCCAATTCTCAAGCCCAATATTACGGAAGAAATTCATACAGGATTCATTCAGTAATTTAATCTTTTCCACGAATTTGTTATACTTCCGAACTTGGGATTGAGAACCAGCACGATAGACCAATGTTTTCAATTTCTTACACTTGTACTTATGGTTGAAGTTGCTAGCAACATGTCATAAGCAAAATCTGTGATGTGAGTTAGGTCCGGTCCAACCATTATCTGGATTATTAACAGCAGAGGTAATACCCTCAATGTCGGTCTGAAATCAAACATATCTCTTCATGCGTAACAACCTTTCTCAGGTTCTTTAGAAACCAACCCCAGTTCAAACGAGACTCCTCATCTACAATGGCAAAGGCAAGAGGTAGCAAATGTCCATTTGCATCGACCGATGTTGCAATCAACAACTTCCTCTTATACTTTCCATATAGATGAAACCATCTATTTGAAGCACGGGTCGAAATTTTTGAAAGGCTGCAATGCAAAGACCAAATAACCAAAATACAGAATGGAGAATGTCATTACCTGGTTTTCCATAATCCTTAATTTTCCATTAGACAATTGTCCCCGGATTAGTGTGTTTCAACATGTACATCCATTTTTGTAAACGTTGATATGATTCATCCCAATCACAAAAATGCGAGCTAAAGCCTTTGTTTTCCCTTCCCAAACTCTCCTATATGGAACATAATATCCAAATTTTTCCTTGATCAAATCTTGAAGTGTTGAAATACTTGTAGAAGGATTATATCTCACAACATCACAGAATTCTCTACTTATCATATTCGAATCTAATTGACAATGACTTTGATTGAATTCTGAGTACACACAAGAATGTTGGTCTACATACTTCGTAATCTCCCATACGTCATAAGATTTATTAAGAATCGCACGAAGTCGCCATTTGCATCCATTTTGTCACTTCTTACATCTAATTATCCATTTAGATGGTTCTGATTCTACAACTTCGTAAGGGTGGTGATTTTTTACAGCAAAACGTTTGACGATATGCTACATAGTTTCTTTATCATTACACATGAACCCCTTGTACAACATATCATTTTCAGCAGCCACAGGTTGAATAATAGAATTGTGTTCTGCATTACTATTAACCATGTCATTGGCTAGGTCATTAAATGTTTGAGAAGGGATTTCATGTTCACCCTCGATGTCCAATTCATCAAACTCATTGTCTGTTGCTGTCCTGAGTTCTATAAATCTATTATCAGCAATTAAATCCATATCTTCATCTAAATCAGTCACTGGTGGCACAAATAACTCAGGTTCAGGATCAATGCATTGACTCTGTTCAAGACATTGGCTAGGTTCAAGACATTGGCTGGGCTCCTCGAGGTCCAGTGAGACATTTATCATATTCCTAACATTCACATGTAATTTCACTAGTTCTAGACATGACAGTGCAATTGTGAAAATTAAATCCAATGCATTCTGATTCTCTAATAGAATGATAGTGTATTTAATTGATCCCGATAATGTTTGATTAGGGTGTCTATAGACAAGTTCCAATTTATTTCTGCTCATATCTACGTTCAGTGACACTCCAACCATTTGAACAAAATGATCAAACTCAATACCACTATACACAATAAAACCTCCACTTGACAGTCCATCATAATCACCTTCATTCGTATACAGTACAATCGCCAAACATTTAGCTATCATTTAAATCCTAAATTGAAAAAAAGATCTTCAATTAAGTTGTAATTAAATCTAACTACACTAATCAAATAAACTAATTTTATGTATAATACCAAAATGTAACATATAATCGTATAATTACCTAAATTTATTTAATAAAAGAATTAATTATAACATATAAACTAATTAAATAAAAAATATATTAAATAACAATTATATAATTAAATAAACAAATTTTAATTAAATACAAAAAATGTAACATATAATCTTATAATTACCTAAATTTATTTAATAAAATAATTATTCATGACATATAAACTAATTAAATAAAAGAGATATTAAATAACAATTACATCAAACAACACTAAATAAATAAATAAATTTGAATTATAATAAAAAAGGGTAATATAATTACCTAAATTAACAATTAATTCACATAAAATCTAATAAATTAGTTTACATTAACCAATATTAAATTAATAAATAATAAAATATAATATTAATAAAAAAGCTAGAAGACAAAATCAAAATACCTCGAAGTGGTCCCAAGAATCTAAAAAAACAACACAAAACAAAATAATGATTATGTCGGTTATATTAAAAAAAAACTACTTATTGACGCCGTACGGAGGATGGTGGGAAACGACAGCGACGGTGGACAACGGTAGCGA